CCCTTGGGGGGCTCACAATCCAGCAAAGAGATTTAGAGCCTCAGCTCGACCTCCAGGCCTCACCAGGCAGGTGGGGAAGCTGGGTTCCCCTGGGCCCTCGTCAGGGGAGCCTTGGTGCTGCACCAGCAGGAACGGGGTCTCCCTCCTGTCCTGCAAGGCACTCAGTCTGTGGCTGAGGCCTCCCTCCAGTCCAGAGTGGGGGGCCCTTGGGGGCCAGAACAGCCTGGAGTGAGCCCCCTTGGTGAGCCGGCACCACCACCCCACCCCTGCACTCCTCTGGGCCGCCTCCCTGCTGTGGCATTTGGTGGAGATGAGGCCCCTGCACCCACTACTTCTAGGGGGCAGAGCTGGCCAAGTTCAAGGTCAATCAGGAAGCAGAAAGCGTGGGGGCAAAGGGTAGGTGGCGCCTCTCTGGCCGCATGGCCTGGGATCAAGTGCTCACTGCTGGCTGTCTCCAGCCCCTCCCTATAAGGAGAGTGATGATGGCTCCCTGGGGAGACAAAGATGGGCACCTTGGGAGCCTGGTCTTCAGGGTGAAACAGGGGCCCGTGGTGATGGTCCGGCACACTGCCCGGCTGGGAGTCGGTACCTGTGGTGGCTGGCTGTGTGCTTACGGCTTCCAATGCTCATGGTCGTGGGGGCAAAGCTAGAGCCCAGCTCCTCGTAACCCAAATATCCCAGAACTCAGAATCCAAGTGTCTGCCACTGTCAGTGCTCCAGGAGCCCCCAGTCCCGGGGTCCCCCCAAACCCCCGGGGTCCCCGTGTTTGCACAGCGGCGCTCATGGGCCTGCAGGCCTCTGAGTGAGCAGCCCTGGTGGGCCGGGCAGGAGCCCCCTGCCACCTCCGCCCTGTGAGCCTCTCAGCAGCCGAACAGCCCTGAAAGAACGGCAGTGGCAGACACACAGCAACACACCGCCTGCTTCCCTTGAGCACGGAAAACATTCATTAAGCATTTTCGAGGACAAGGGCACGAAGAAAAACACTCATTAGAAGCAGAAACAGTTTCCAAATGAGCCAGACAGAATCTGCTGGTAAGTCTAGGCTGATGTGGGGGCCTGTCCTCAGGGAGTGGGCAGGGGGAGGGGTGCACAAAAGTGGGAAAGGGAGGCCCAGGAAGGGGACGCAGAAGGAGGCAGGAAGGCCTGAGCCAAAGCATTAGAAAATCCCAAATAGGAGAGACCACGGATGGAGGCCAATGACCCTTGCCGTCCGGCCCCGCCTTGGAGCAGTCCAGCCGGCAGGAGGGGCCGCACCTCCTCCAGCCCCAGCAAGACCCAGGGCCTGGGTGCCTGCAGGTGCTCAGGCAGCAGGAAGCAGAGGCCAGAAGGAGACAGGAGGCCTGATCCCAGCCCTGCTCCACTGCAGACCAGCTGGGTGACCAGGGGTACGGCCCTGCCCTCTCTGGGCCTCAGCATCTAAGGAGGAAATGCAGCCGCTGAGCTGGGTGGAACCTCTAAGGGCCCCGCCTGCTAGGACGCATGGAGCTCTCTGCGGTGCTGATGGCGTGATGAGAGGCGGTGTGTGTGCCGGCCAGCAGCGGTGGCTTCTCAAGGTCCCAGGGCAGATAAACTCGGGCCATCTGGGGTCTCGAGATGCTGCCCTGTGCAAGTGACCACATGGTGCCTGGGACATGACAATGATCTTATGTACCATGGCCTAAGCAGGCTGCGGTCCGCTCCACTTGAGGGGAAGGTTCTGGTTCCTCATTTGTCTCTGCTTACACCCTAGTAAAATATTTATTTGCAGTGGAGACAGAGAAAGGGGGGGTGGGGGGGTTAGCACCCTCTGCTGAAGCCAGATCACTCGTAAACTCCAAGTGCCACGCCAGCTCCTGCCCTCCCCCTCCTCCCTGGCCCTCTGCTTCAGCACAGCGGCCACCCCTGTGCTGGGTCTGACATATCCTGGGCAGCAGAACAGGATCAGGAGAAGTGCTGGCCCCTCCCTGTCTTCCTGAGGCTCCAAGCTGGGTCTTGGGGAAGATCAAAGGGTGCAGGATGCTCCCTCAGGGAGATTACAGTCTGGTTAGAGAGGAAAACCAGGCCTGTATGGGCAGGGGTTCTGGCTGTGCTCAGCGGCCTTGGGTTCAGTTTGAGGATCTCAGAGGCAGGAGTGAGCTTGCCGGCTGGCAGGACACAGCCACTCAGCTGGGACAGAACCCCTCGCTCCTTCCCTCCTTCTTCCTCCAAGCCCCCTTACTTTCTAGGGTGGCTCCTCCTGCCCCATCCCATCCAGTCTGCTCACAGGACAGTGAGGTGTGAGGGGCATGGCCACCCACTGCACCCCCTGCTAGCAGTATGTCACATTTAGGGGACCGGCTGGCTTCTTTAGAGCCACGCTTGCACCTGAGATGCCTCCCTTCTGAGCTCTCACCGCTGTCACTGCCCCTGACACCTTCCCTCCCACCCCATCTTTTTGTCTCAGTAATTGGTGTCAGAGACAAACTTGGGCCAATTCCCATCTGGGCCAGTATCTCATGACTTCCTTCCTATTTACTAACAGAGAAATTAAACCTGGCCACGCTGTCACTATACTGGTGTTGTAATTAGCACCAGAACAAATTGCCCCAAGCGGGGCAGTTGCTGGGCTTGCTCTGGGGCTCTGCGTGGGACGTGAGCTGAGCTAATTGCTTTGGCCTTCGCTCCTTACCCTCTCACTGCCCAGCACTGACCAGAGAGCAAGAACTCCCGCACCGATGTACAATCCTGCTTTGTCTTCTGCTCAGAGAAACAAGAAAACTGGAGGACACAGGGGAGGGGGTGTGGAGGGACCAAGGGAGGAAATGAAGACTCAGTTCAGCCCCCAAGAAGCCAGATCCTGTGATCCCGGCCTTTGGGGAGATTCAGGCTCCCCACCAGCTGGCAGGTAACAAACCCAGACGCACATGAGTCACCCCAGTTATGTCTCCAGCACACAGTGGCCAGGATCACAGCACCAGGGAGGGGAGGGCAGGGGCAGAGGGGCAGGGCCTCTCCCACTCCTTGTGTGGCCTCAGAAACAAGGTGGCCAGGATAAGTGGGACCTGGCTCAAGGGGCCCGAGTGCGTGGCATCCAGTTTGGAGAGCAACTGGCTCAGACTCCAAAGCTGCCCGGTGGTGTCTGAGTCCAGGGAAGGAGATCTAATGAAATTAAAAAGCCAGGGGAGCACGAGGGAATGAGAAGAGGCAGGTGGAGGCGTGGGTGCAGCAGAGCGGGCCTGGAGGAGAAGGAGCAGCCTTGAACGGCAGACAGCTAGGGCTGTGGGGAGGCTGACTGGCAGGAGGCTGGCTCCTGGGGCGCTGCTCCACCAGGGAGGCAGCGGCTGGGCTGGGCAGAGTCAGCAGAGGGAAGAGGTGTCCTGATGGGGCATGAAAGGTGAAAAACTCCAACACCGGACCTGGGGGGCTGGAGGCCCAGGAAGGAGGTCACAAGGGCTAGGTGGGGTGAAAGTGGCAGCCAGAGAGCAACCCTGGGGACACAGGGACATGCTCTAACTCCATGGCATCTCTGCTGTCAAGGAGGAGCCCACCCCCGCCTCCTGCAGCCACATGGAGAGAAGGTCCTTCACCAAATGGCAAAATTCCTTGGATCCATTCTTATTACCAAAGCCTGGAAAGTATCACTCCAGAACCACACTGAAGGTCCCTTTCACAAGGACACAGGGCCGAGCAACTAGAAAGCCAGGTGCTACCATGCCAGCCTCTGAGGGGGACAGACCCTGGGAGACTGACAATGGGCGGGGGGTTGGGGAGCAGGGAGAAGCCACATCTTTGCAAATCAGCACCTCCTCAGACAGTCTCAGACCCCACCGCTGATAAACATGCTGAACCACAGACAATAAGTTCAGGGAACTAAGGGAAAATGCAAAGGTCTTGGAGGTGCAGGGAGGAGGGCAGAGCTAATGGACAGAGGGCCTGGTCCAGGTGTGGACGCAGAGGCAGCTCTGTGCTCAGCAGGCACCTTCCAGGCACCCTTCCTGGGACCACTGGCCCTTCTGCAAAACATGGTGGGCACAGCTCTGTTCTCTCAGAACTCGTGCCATGGGCACTGGGGTGGCTTGCTTTCCCATCGGCTGGGCCCCTCCCAACCACACCCCCCAGGTCAGGGAGATCCCAAACCCCTGGAGCCCAGGCTAACTTGAACAACAGTGGATGCAGAAAGTGGGATTTATGGTGGGAAAGGCCAGAGGCAGCAATTGCTGGGCAGAGGCAGTAGGAAGAAGTTGGGGTGATGCCGCTGGGCCTACCAGGTACAGGTTCTACAGAGAGTGGCTGCAAATCAGAGGACGAACTTTGGGAAGGACCCAGGTCCAGGCTGACTGGGCAGATCCCCCAGACCTCCCCACTCACACAGCAACACGTTCCACTAGGCAAGCGGACCACCAATAACCACCAATCGGCAAGAGGCTGAGCGGCCTCCGGGCAGAGCACCAGCACCATGGACAGAGATCCAGGAGCCAGGCCTCCCTGGGAGCTTTGGCAGCTGGGTGGCTCCCCCACTCCTTTCTCCATCCTATATGTCATCCACAGCAGACATCACAAATCGATTACAGAGCTCCTTTCCAGGAGCCAGGGGCTCCCGCTCTCCCAGCAAACATCCCAAGTCATCCGACTGCAAGTGGCATGATTCCAGAAGCCAACTTTCCACACGTGCCAACACCAACCGCGCAAGAAAGCAAATGTGTGGTTTTTAGCCAAAAGGCTTTTCTCAGTCAGGGGCAGAGTGCCCAGGCTTTTTTCCATCCTCACTCAGAGGAAACTGAGGCACCCTGGAAGCACCTGGCGGGAGCTTATCCTCAGCAAGGACTCCCACCGCCAGGCTTTCTCCCCTCCCTGGCACCTGACATCGCACCTGGCCAGCCGCACAGCTGGTCTCAGTGCCACACGCCGACATCCCTAGGAAAGCTGGCCAGGGCGCCTTGGCCTGAGGCTGCCGCACGCAGGAGCCCCACCCCGCTCAGCACCCTCCACAGACCCTTCCCCAGCACCGGAGACGGAAGAAGAATCCAGTTCCAGCCACCTACCTGAAGGAGCCAGTAGCACCTCCGGTGGAAGGTGGGGATGATGGAGGAATGGACATAGCAGCCGTACAAGCACTAGGGAGAGAGGAAAAACGAGAATTCAGTTGGAAAGAGGGAAGGAAGGGAGGAAGACGGCGCAACAGAGAAGGAGCAAGAAAGGGCCACGGACACTGCCACCACCCCGGGAGACAGAGGGGCAGCTGCCTCTGCGCCTGGCTCCAGGACCAGGGCTAGGGTCTGGGACACACCTGAGAAGCACAGTTGGGAAACGCCAGTGGGCAACCACAGATAGACAGCCGGGGTGCCCACTCCTGTGGGGCCACGGGGGCATGTGGGAACCCAGAAAAGCCAGGGACCACGGGAATGTACACGTGGATACATTTTGCCTATAATTTTAGGGGCTGGGAATTACCCTGCAGTTCATTCATGGAACCTGGGTTAGGGCCCCTTGGTGTCCGGGGAGGAACTGACAGTTACAGAATTGATTCAAGCACACATACAACTCCAGACCTTTCTTGGCCAAGGAGAGTTGTCTGCAGCGGCCCTGGCTGTTAGGAGCTCCAAGGCTGGGGGGCCGGGGAGGGACACCTCTTCCTAGTACTGACCTCCAGAGCCTGGGACCCCGTGGGGACACCCCCACTTCCTGGTCCTCAGTTACAGTTTTCTATTCATATATGTGTTTGTTCCAAGTATAAACCTGCACCTTTGGCCGATGGATTTGGTTTTAGAAAACAGCCAGAGCCCAGTTGGAGAACAAGGTGGGTGGGGATTCAAGTTCAGGAACAGGATGTGGAGTGGACACGGGCGGGAAAGCTCTGGTGGAGCTTGTCACTTAGACCCAGGTGGGCGGAGCTGACGGGGGTGGGGGCCAAGTCAGGGCGGCACGTTGTGCTTCTGGGGTGCTGCACACAGCACCGGCAGAGGTGGAGAAAGGGAGCTGATGAGAACTGTCAGGCCCCTCTTGAGATTAAATTCTGAAAGTCTGAGTGGCAGGAAATGTTGCCTTTTCTTTTGGAGCCTCCAATTCCAAATTAGAATGAGCTCTCTCTATTTCCTTCAGGGTCCCCAGCTTCCCAAAGCAAGCGTTCCAGAAGGGGTGGGGCAGAAAGAGAAGGCAGAGCCGCAGAGCCTCAGAGGATGAAGGACAGGCGAGGTCTCCCTTCCCTTCACACTAGTCCCCCAACCCGACACCAGTTCTGCAGAGAGAAATGGCCAGCAGCACTGTGTTTACAGCTTTCATTGTTTACACCCCCGAAAAGACCAAGTGCAATTTGGTTCGACTAGGAGTCCATTTGAGCCCTGCCTGTCTGATTAGCAGCGTTGAAAGAGAAATCATTTTGGACTATGGGATTCTGGCTGCAAGAAAATCAGATTTCCGATATGTTAGAACTTTTACAGATTGCTGTCAGCTGGGACTTAAGCCCTGTACAAACCAAACAAACAAAGCGGAAATTAATTTAAACGGTTCCCTTGCAATTCTTGCCCGCGAAATGTATTTATTATTAAGAAGGCAATATTCTACCCTGACTTTTCTGGTTTTCAATACACTGTGTCTGCCTCTCTTTCTTTCTTTTTTGAATTTTTGATAGTGTAGTCCCTCCTGCCGAAGGAGACTGGTGTTTGGACGTTTTCTGTGAGTGTTTGGTTGCAGTGGATGGGCAACCCACCTGCAACGTACACCAGCCCCTTTCCTTTGGAATTTGCATGTTCCCATGGGCAGCTTCATTGCGTTCACTTGTGCAGTGAGCCCAGTGCAGGAGACGTAAACTGTTAAGGAGTCTCCCTCGGAAATGAAAGGCTTCTACCTGCACTTCCTTTCCCACTGTTCATCCCTCTTGAGGGTTTGCAATGACCCCCCCCCACCCGTCTCTTTCTCTCACCGCTGCTTTTTCCTGAACTTGAGAAGAATGTGGTTGACTTGCAGCACCTTTTCCCCTCCTCCACCCACGCTTGTCTGTCTGGGTGGGACTGCAGCGTCCTTGAACCACGTGCTAAGGAATCACCGAGAATTTTCCGAACACCTACTGTGTGTCCCCTCCGTGAGCACCCAAGAGGACAGCACGGCCAGCTCTCCCCTGAGCCATCCCAGCACCCCTCTTTTGAGCACCCCTCCCTCCCCAGAACTGTCCAGAACCATCCAATAAACAGAATGATGTTAAAAAAGAAAACTGGCTGTTTCTACATCAAGGCTCATGCATTTTAATCAGAGGAACCCTCGGGGCCTCGCTCAGAACCTGGATACTCTATTTTTAGATATGACTCTGACCACCCTGGTGAGCTGATGTCTCTGATCTCTGCAGATGAGAACCATGATCCTCAGAAGGTGGGGAGAGGGAGGCCCAACAAGAATGAGCCACATCAAGCAGCGTCAGGGGAGGAGGCTCCCCAGGGAACCCCAAGGACTCGAGAAGCCCGAGGGCATGGGGCCCTCCCGGTGTTGCCTTGCCCAGAACACCGGTCACCTTGGGGCTCATTTGTCCATCTCTATTCCCTGGACAGGGGCTCCTACAAGGCAGGACCTTAGAATGAAGATGGCCCACAGTCCCCCAACTCAGTATCCCCAGGACACTGGTCCCTACAGGCTGGTGCAGGGAAGGACTGGATACAGCGCATGTTTAATGTCTGCTTGTGGAACTCTGAAGGCTCTTCATAAAACAGACTGGGAAACCACACTGAAAAACAGCTCCACATTTAGCACTTAAAGGGTTAAATTTCAGTTTCAAAGAAAACTGGCAGTTGATGGGAGCTGGTTTTCCTCTTCTGGGAAGAGGACTCTGCTATCCCCTCCAGGCAAGCTGGAGGCAGCAGGGGGCAGGGGCGGGTGGGATTTCTGAGCGATAGATCCTGCGTGGGGTGAGAAGGCCCTTGTCCTGCCTGGTGCAAAATGGGCACCGTTTTCTGTCTTCTGGGTGGCTGTCAGGGTCAGGAACTGTGCTGGGCTAGTGAGAGAGGGGTTAGAGGAGGCTACGGGGGCATAAAGGGGAGTCGGCCAAGGGAAGGGTGAAGGAGAGTATTTCCAGCAGCAGGAAATACAGGCAGAGATGGGCGGTGAGACAGGAGGGGCGGGGCTTGAGGAAGTGTAAGGACGCTGGGATGGACTGGGGTGTCAAGTGCACAGCGGCATGGGGAGAGACAAGCTTCAGGGAGACAAAGAGGGTTAGATCACAAAAGGCCATGGGCGTGACAGCAAGGAGCGTGGCTTCACCCTGGGGTGGCGGAGAGCAAAGGGAAGTCATGACCAGATCTGCATTCCGAAGCTCACTGCAGCGGCAGCGGTGTGGCCAGGGAGCAGGGCGGAAGCGGGCTGGGGGCACCGGGACCAGTCCTGTGAGTCCAGGAGGCCCACTGGGATCGGACGGTGGCAGCAGCAGTGAGGGTGCAGAGAAATGGCTGTGTGGCCAGGTATAAGGATGACGCCCCCTTTCTGGCTGCATGGACAGGTACACGGTGGCCCCATCCACAGGAAACCCTGGGGGTGCAGCGGGCTGGTGGGCTGATTTCAGGTTTCTATTGGTAACTCTGAGGCACTTACAGGACCTCCACGTGGAGACACGCAGAGCACAGTAAGCTGCCGGATCTGGTGCTCAGTCTGGGCTGGCATTAGGAGTCGCCACGTCCCAGCAGAGGGGTGGCACTGGAGGCTAGCGGAGAGGGAGTGGGGTCCATCTACTCAGACTGGTTCCAGCCACAGGGAGCCACGCCTCTCAGGTGGACAGAGCAGGTGAGGAGTGAACTTGCCGGTGCTCCGAGCAGCAGGCACGTGGGGTGCCCAGTCTGCCTCACCATGTACCCCACCCCAGCCCTCCCCTTCCATATACCATGCAACCCCAAACCACCCCACGGCCCTGTCCTGATGCCAGGCTCTCTGGCCAGTTCCCTTTGTCACCACCGTCCTCACTCTGCAGCCCTTCCGCCCATTTACAGGCCATACAACAGACAATGTCAACACCCAGCCAACTGGGGATTCATTGCACACGATTTCACGATGCAGCATATCAAATCCATTCCCTTTACCCACTAATCAAAAAAGCAATCAAGTTTGTCTGTAGTGATCTGTGTTGTACAAACTCCTGGTGCTTTTTGATCAGTCTCTGGGGGTCCCCTGGGGGGTCTCTGGGTTGAGCTTTGCATATGGGGGCCGTGATGTGCTGCAAGGAAGCGTCACACCCCCGGGCTGGCAGATACAGCTCTGTGTGCACATGTGTAAGCGCGAGGTGTGCGTGCACGCCCGTGTAGGGGGTGTGCAAGGCAAAGCACACCGTGGGTCCCTTGTTTCTGTGTATCACATAAAACAAAGAAAGGAAAGAAGAAAGCAACCAGCTATTTATAGGAAACTGAGGAGAACTTCCCCTGCGGATGAAAGCAACGTGCAGATTAGTTGTATTCGGAACATCAAGGCCTGACAGTTTCCCTGTAATGTGCCGGTTGAGCAAGGAAGTTTTTTTTTCTTAAATACTCAAAATTGCGTTTATGACACTATGGGGCTTTTTTTTTTCTTAAATAAAGAGGAAAGATAAAATTACATGGGGAACCAATAGCAAACAAGAGCTCCCTTCAGTTCAAAATATCTGCTTCCTATGAAGAAAGGGATGTTTCTGAAGAAAGCCTCGGCCTCAAACCTCCTCAAATGGATTTCTTCCCAACAGACTCGGCTGCTGGGGTCCCCCAGGTGCCAGAGGGCCCATCAGGGCTTGACATCCGATGGCCTCGAGGGGGGCCAAGAAGGGGGCACCTCGGGTGGGGATGGCAGCTCATTGGTGGGATGTTGGGACTCAGTGGGGGGGGGTCTCCTCTCTGTCCAGCTCTCAGATGCTCCGTGGGATGCAGCTGCTTCTCCAGCTCAGTCTCTCTGTCCCTCTGTTTCTCTCTGGCATGAGCTCAGCCCTCCTATCGTCCCTTCCACTCTTGGCTTCTGCTCTAGACAAGGCTGCCTCACTGTCCCCAGGCAGGCCGGGTGCTTTGCACATCCACGATTTTCCTCATGGTGTCCCCTCCCCAGGGTGGGCTCCCGTCCTCTCTGGTGCACATCCCCCCACCAGCCTGAGTCCATCACAGGTCCTTCCTCCTCCAAGAAC